CTTAAATTATTTTTTACTACATCTTATAAAGGATTGATTTTTGCAAATCTCCTCACTCTATAAATATTCATAGGATAATTAAATTTCTGTCTTATGTGATGCGTTCCCCCCACCCTCACAGCAGCGATGGCAACTTGACTATATAACATCAAAAATCTTCATTCGATGAACGCTCCAGATGCTTTGTTTGTCTTCTCCCTAGGTCTACCAATATTATTATTTCTTATAGCCGAGATTTGCTGCATAACAACAATTATTGCGTAACTTAAGGAAAGTGGTATTTGACTTTTGGGGGTTTTGTTTTTGTCTACAACGGCATTATCGAATTTTTAAAAATCTCGTGTGTTTGAGAGAGACTTCCTCGTGGGTTTCTGGCAAACGAAAGAAACCACTTAATATTCATTTGCTCAATCTTTTAATAAAATAATGCTCTTTGGGGTATATTACCTTCTTAAGGGAACGAAATTACTAATCATTCTAACAATTTAATATCTCAAGCTCTGTACATGCTTTAAGCATGTTTGTCGGAATTCTATAACAAAAGCGGATTAAAAAAAAAAAAACAAGTGATCTTTTAATTTAATCTAATTTGGTCATTACTCCCTTTGCAGATATTTAACTGTTAATGTCAAATTGCATAGCATCCACAAAGATGTGGAAAAATCTCAAAATTTTTTCTTGTCGGTAATACTGAGATACTTTCAATTTTATAACTCATTATCAAAGTTTTTCCGAATTTTCAATTTAAAAATTGGATCACTTTAAGCTGCTATAAAAGCTCCAGATATTTTTACATTCTAATTCAATATTTTCCAACCTTTTTGTCAGTCTAGCCTCTTTTAATTTACCTCGGGTTTGAAAAAAAAACTTTAATTTTTTTCCCAAGAAAATCATTGAATTAAACTAACAGTATTATGTTATGATAAACGTTATAAAAATATTAGACAGGATCGCAGTTTTATCTCCCTCTCTCTACATCTCTCTCGCTCAATTTTGATACAACACCAAATATAATAAAATACTTTCCTATTTGTAATATTCTTCGTCTAGACGTAAGATTGTCATAGTTGTGAGTTCTCGCTTTATTCAAACGAAGTTTTTTTTTAAATAAGGAACATTTTTCAGCTGGTCACTTCCGACCATACATAAAATCTGAATAGAATCCCACTCCGCTATAGCTATCTAGTCGCTTCTTGTTTATTTACATATATATATATATAATGAAAATTTCTCTGATTTAACCAGTAGAGAAGACAATATTTATGAATAAAAATGACAATAGGAAAACTTGTAATTGCTGACGCGTTTCGTCCAATGTGGAAATTAATTTCATTTTCGAATTTTGCTTTGATAAGTTTTCCTATTATATATATATATATATATATATATATATATATATATATATATATATATCTCGAGATAAGAACGAATAGACTACAATTCCAACGTTCATAACATTTAATTTAAAAGAGGGCTGAATACAAAGTAGAGTAATATTATTTATTTCAGGATATTACACCGAAAACATGTCAAAATCGCTACACAATTGCAGTCGTGTTTCGATGCGTATCAGTGCATCTCATCAGGCGATTGTAAATTACTGGCGAGTGAACAATTTATTTATATTTAAAATCAAAAAAGAAAAAAGTGGGGTATAAGGTTTGTGGGCTTTACTGTGATCAACCAGTCAAATATGACCTACGTTAAATTTAAACTAAGCGAAGAAGTAAAAATTAAAAATTATTTTTTATGTGTTATGATCCGTAGATCGATAGCCAGACATAAACTAAAGCAGATGCAAATGGTTCCATAAATTATACAAACAAGACAATGCCGTTTCCTAAGAAATAAAAACGGGGTGGAGAGATAAACAAAATGCTAAACAAGTTATATGCTTTTTTTGAGTGTCCTACATAATTTTTATTGATAAATAAACAGCTTCTTCAAGAAACTAGTAAATCATTTAAACGTATAGAACTATTTGGTGAATTAATATGCAACTGTTGAATAAAGATACTAACCAATCGATGTAATATATATATATATATATATATATATATATATTTATTCGTTGTTAAAGCCACGTAAACATACGATACACAAATCATGTGACTTAATTACGTGTTTTACTTTCATTTCACGACGTATACCACCATGACCTAATGAGGTCAAATCATACAATATTGAATTAGTTACTCGCTCTCACCTTTACATAGTATGCACCAGATATTTGAAAACACATCTTTATCTGACCATAAATGGAAGTCAACCTAACGTACTTTTTAATATAATCATTTACCTTTCGTACGTAACGAAAGCATCAACATTGCATCTTCCGATCTAAATCTAGAAAATAAAAGGAATGCTCTGCTCGTGGAATAAACCAACCACAGTGACTCTGATTATAACCATCTTGTGAAATAACAAGTGGTTTTGCGCAGACCCCACTGTAATGCTGATCAATTCCCGTTGTCTGTGATTTTTCTGGGGTCATAAATAATGAGGGTCCTGTCATTCCGCCTCAAAATAGATTCGATTTTACCGCCTATGCATCGGTCAAGCCTTGGATCAAGGTGATAGTCCTTTTACACTCCTCCCCACTTTACCTAGTTGTGATTAACCGCGAATTTTCTCTATCACGTCGAACATCTAGCCTCCTTTTGATTTGAATTCTTTGGAGGCATCATTGAGAAGAAAACCCACAAACTGTCGCACTGACGTGATGGCCATTATGAACGAGAACTAATTTATCAGGATGTTCAGCTGCTTCTGAGGCTGCAATGAGATCGTCTACGAGGCTGAGGAATGTTATATTGAATAACCTATTTCTAAGTTGAACTTATGCACTATTCCTTTACAAAAAGGACACTTGTACTTAGAATCATACATAAATATGGAAAGGGGCTTGTAAAATTTGACGCACACATGAAATTGAAGGTAAGAGGGGAAACTGTAAGTAACTTACCTAACGATCTTAAGTTATCAACATTTTTAGCAACGATCGTTGTTAACCATAAACACTAATAGCTAACTTTTGTTTTTAATTATGCATTGGTATGTTGCAAATATATGGTGGGATGTTTTGAATATACTGCGTGTGCTTTGCGGGATGACTCTCTTAATTGCATTTCGGTAAAAATCCCATTCCTAGAAAATGTGGAAAAATGTTTTGCTGAAATCCATCTAAGATAGTTATCCAATGAAGCATACGTAGAATATTCAAAACATCCCACCATATATTTACAACATACATACCCTGTTATATAGGCTGGGTCGACTCCGGACGTGAGCTATCCTGATTCTCTAAAGCTCCCTATCTTTTGTAACTAAGTAATATTTTTCTTTAGTGTCTATTCCCGACCCTGATTTGCCATTCATTTACAAAAGCTCGTTAAGTAGGTTACTTGCAATTTCTCTCTCCCTCTCTTACCTTCAACATGTCCTGTGAGTGTCAAATTCTATAAGCACTCTTCATTATGTGTCCCATAAACATCAACTGTCTTTTTCTGATTCTAATATAAGTGCCATTTCCGTTTCCATTTTCCTTAACACTTTCTCGTTTTCCACATTTGCATCCTTCTATAGAATAGCATCTCTTCAAGTCTCCTCTTCATAATCTGTAAAGAAAATATCTGCTTCAAGTCTCCTCTTCATCATCTGTAAAGAAAATGTCCATAGCCATTCACTGCCAAATTTTGATATTACTTAACAATTAAGTGCTGTCTTTGTTTCTAACGAAATTTTCATGCTTCTTAATATATATTTTAGCTTTGAAAGTCCTCTTTCATTATTGCAACTTTCATTCGGATTTCTGTAACTTTTCCATTCTCTGTTAAAATACTTTCTATATAGTTAAATTTCTTAACGTCTCCAATTCTTAGACACTTTTTTGCGTAATTCCCACCAGCAATAGAAGCAGGACTATTAGTTAACTAAAATAATTTTAATTTTGAATAAGAAAATTAAAATATGAACAAAGATTGGGCTATGAAATTTCATTTTATCAAGTATTTGCTTATAACTGATATCTTTCAATACCGCACACATGAATTCATTATTTTTCCAATCTTGAGATTTTACTAGAATTTCGTAAATAAAGACTTTTGTGTGTGTGTTTTTTTTTTGTTTTGTTTTTGTTTTTTTCTTTATGTATATTAACGAAACTCTTTACTTGAAATGTTATACAGTATTTATAAAAGTAAAACATCTTTATAACTGAAGTTTGACTTGAGTAACAACTTTACTTTTCAATAACAATGTCTTTGATTTCTGACGATGTTTGATTTTTTTTTTTTTTTTTTTTTTTTTTTTTTTTTTTTTTTTTTTTTTTTTTTTTTTTTTTTTTTTTTTTTTTTTTTTTTTTTTTTTTTTTTTTTTTTTTTTTTTTTTTTTTTTTTTCGGTATAAAACTAAATGTGATTAGATTATGCAGCACCAGTCTTCCCATTGGGGAGGGCCATCCTGTATTGAAAGTCGCCATCGAAACCCTCACTTTATATCAGTTTGATAATTAAAGCATGATTTCGACTTAAGTTGTCAGTTACGCATACGTAAATCAATGTTTACTAATGATGAAAACGTGCTTCTTTTACATGAAAATTTCAACATAATCTCTTTCCTTTTGCGTTAGACTTAATTCATGTAAATATTGGCATATATCGAACATTATAAAGTGAAATTTTCTTATCGATGTTCAGCTTATAACGACTTGTCAGGCTACGAACGTAATAATCAACACCCCTATCTTTGAAAAATACAGAAAGTGATCTGAAAAGTATAATCTTAAACAAAAAAGGGAAGTTTGGCGCTACACAGTGCTAACAAGTATTAAAGAGTTAGAAAATATCTTTCAGTGCACTTCTGGTTTACTGTACATGTGAAACGGTATCAGAAAAAACAATTTGTCAATTATATATAACTTTAACAGCTTCACTGATTTTTACACTTTTTTTTTTTTTATCTTTTCAGTTTCTTGGCTACATAGCGACAGCTGTACGCAGAATGTACCTCCATTTCGGCAAGTCTGGACCCTCCAAAACTACTCACGACTCTATTCAAGCTCTGACTTCCTGTTCCTCCTCTCGTGAACTACTTCACAAGCTTTGTGAAGAAACCAACGCCATTACAAGTCTCTCTACTGTAGCACCTGGTGATAACAGTCAATTTACAAAAGATGGGTCCAATGTCATCACTTCACCACGCCAGAGAGACCATCCACACGTCCGTCCACAAAATGGGGTCGGAGCGGAGATTCCTACTTCGGAAGGTGCGGGTGTGGCTACCGCACATCAACATATGGCGAACACCAAGAATAAAAAGAAAAAAAAGAAAGCGACCAAGAGGCTTGCGAAAATCCAAAGCTCTTCTACTGGGGTGAGTGAGGCTGATACTGTGACAGCTGAATCAGTCGCACCTGCTGATGTAAGTTCCACAGATGAAGTTTCCGATGAAGCCTCTCTCTTACCCTCCTCATCGTTATCTACTTGCTCCTCCTCACAGTCGTTAGTAACAGTAGCGATCAGTGCCTCTACAAATTCTGACTGTAACGACAACGGTGGGGGATATGAAGTTACTGACCCTGGTGAATCCGTTCCAGTCAACGTCCCCGCTTCGGATAGTGCGGATTCATCCCTGGTTGTCACAACACCACCGGGGAACAGAAAGCAGCCTATAAACTGGTCTGTGTCAGCGCCGATACTAAAATCCAAAAAACTGAAGAAGAGTCTGTCGAGAACGTTATCGAACCTAGACTTTGACAAATGCAGCCCAGAAATTTGTGTTACCCTGATGCATCGGCCGACAATACAAAATGTCGGTGCCCTGAAGAGGAAATTAAAGAGCTGCAGCACAGAATGGCTGCATACGTTCGTCACCAAAGGTGGACTTGACAGTCTGCTGGACTATAGTAGCGGCGAGCGCCATCTTCATCAGCTGTCAGATGCCCTATTGTTGTTGGAATGTATCTCTTGTGTCAGGGTTGTGATGAACTCTCGCCAGGGATTAGAATATATAATTAATACTCATTACACTACCAAATTGATTAAAAGTAAGCTGATCTTTTCTATTTGAACCATTCTGTCATTAAATCGTTTTGTTGATCTTTAAAGGTTTAAACTAACTTTCTCTTTGTCGGTGTGTCTAGCGATCGCGTGACTGAAAAGTCGGCTGAGATACTGTTTGTTCCCAATAATTATAAATTGATCAATCTTTTAAAGTAAGTTGGACAAACAAGGTAGTGATGTATTTGATGGTCTACGTGAAAAAATACTGTATTTGCTTATTTACTCAACACTCTTCTGCAATAAAATTTAGCAATAAAATATCAAATGATTATTTTTCGAGTTTAAACAATCGAAGATATTTGACTATAAAATAGAATACATATAAATCAGACTGGTAATTTTTATCAGCATCTACGTGTAATGTGTGGAGGAGAAAGTTTCGCTTAAATGAGTGAATCAGATCCCTTCCTGGCATCATCATAATTATTACAGTGTAACCCGGATATAAGAGATCCGGATATAAGAGAGATTTTCTCTGGTCCCAAATTAGAGCCTGTGTTAATGTATATAAAATAGACCAAACCCGGATATAAGAGACTTCTTCTCCGGTCCTGACAACTCTCTTATATCCGGGTTACACTGTAGTATTATTATTATTATTATTATTATTAATAATGCTACCTACAAGAGTATCTCAATTCTTTTATTCGCAAAATTTAGTTCCTTTGAGCGCTTTTTTATTGCCCTGTTGATGTAAAATCCAAGAGACTTGGGGGGGAAATGAAACCCTCTTCTGAATTAAAGGGGAATGGTGTCATGACAAACGAATCTGATGCTTTCATTGATCTATCAACGACCCACAAATAATTAAAAAAATTCAAAGACTGCGAGCTTTTCAGATGTTTTTTGGTTTGTTTTTTTTTTGTTTTTGTTTTGTTTTTTGTTTTTTTGTATCATCCGCTCTCCTATAGTTTTCAGAATTTATATCTTCTTTTAACCCCCATATGTATCTTTGTGCCATATTCCGTTCGAGTGGGCATTCGGATAAATCCCATTCAACCTTCTCGTAGCAAAGAAGTTACAATTAACTTGCCTATAAACAAAGAAATTTATATTTTTAAACCCTATTGCAAAATCACTTCAGACGAAACTCCGATAGCTATACGATGCATGCAGCTAATATCAAGCAATTCTTTTCTCGTAGAGAATACTCATTTGTGTGATGAAATCCTTTACAAGAACAACATGATAAAAAATCCATGCTAATCTGGTTCAAAACAATCGTTATAAATATAAACTGTTGATACTTTCAATTAAACGTGCTTTTATTCTTTATCCTTATAACAGCTATGCATACTAAAATAGTTGTATAAATGTATCAAAATACGTTGGCAACAATGCTTAATAATTAGCTTTTATTTCCTAAGTACAAGTAAGAATACTACCATTGAAATATACACGAACGAACCGTCAATTGAACTAGAAAAACAAATATTAAACAAATAAAAACTGAATGACCTCTCCTAGACTTGAATTCAACCCAGTTTTGTCAAACATTACGTGTTGTGAAACTATTTATAGCGATTTACTAAGCGTAGCTTCAATGTTGTTGTACAAGGCTTAAAATGTGTGGCACCCAGTGACGATGGAAGTCACTACTCAGTTGTAATTGTTCTAGCGAAACAAGCTTGCTAACCATTACACAACATCGAAGTGCCTATGTATAACTATTTATACAGAGGAAGTCAGTTTGAAATCAAATACTTCTGAACGATTTTTAGGTACCCAGAAGAATTCTTCAACTTCATTTTTGATGAGTAAGTTTGTTTTAATAAATAACAAATTAAAAAGATCATGTTGAAAATCATCATTCAAAATATTGCGTAAAACTGACATCAAATAAAATGAATTTTATTAATTATATCTACTAGCTTGTCACATTTTGTCCAATTTCGTGATTCTTGCTTAATGGTGTTTTTTTTTTTTTTGTTTTTTTTTTTTTTAATGGATTTTAGAATTAGAATATTTAATTATTCAAACAGTTGTTTTCTGCTCTGAATTTAACAACTGCCATAGCATTTAGATCAAAGCTTGGGAATAACGGAAGGTAAACAATGTTAAATTTTTAAGTGTTTTTGAAAATTTAACAAATATAAAATGCTGAAAAAAAACATAAAATTTATCGAACTGCTTTACGAAGACTTCGTTAACGTCATTTTATGACCTTTCAATCTCTCAAAAAATTTACTGCGTCTCGGAGAAAAGGAAAAGGACTTGTCCCGAGCAACGTCGGATATTAATTGCTAGCTGTATAATAATATCACATTTAAATGGTCTCTTTTTGTATTAGAAAATACTAAAAAGTAATTATATTACTAAAAACTGGAATTATGTGGACATTACTGATAATGGAGTAATACTGACAAAATACATAAGCAGACGTCCCAATTCTGACTGAAACCAGGTTTCTTCACAGTCACGGCCTTAAGATAGGCATGAACGCGCATCTCTCTAAACTCGGCACAGTCTTCGTCACCGGTGTACCACAATGGTTATCGGATAATTCTGATCAGATATTCTTACCTGCTATTGCTACCATGCACCTTAATATTAAGTCTTGCTTACTGGAACATTTTTACTGCCAAGTAACTTCCTTGCTTTTGTGATGCCACGAAGGATCGACTGTGGTACCTCGACGATCTCTTAGACTATGGGACTAACCGGTTACTTCGATTAAAATGTAATATGATTAGCAGAAATTTTGATATTACTATTTCAATGACTTATTGTCTTTATACGTTAAAGAAATTCTTTTGGCAATCTTATTATGAAAAATGAATATCCAATAATATCACGACTTTCTCGCCTCTTGTCACCGTTAAATTATCTACGAAGTTGTTAAAACCAATCATTGCAGACAAGTTAATAGACGATGCTGGAAAGTACTCGAACCGGCGAAAAACCCTTTCCGAGAAAAAATTGTTTCGTCAGATTTTTGGAATTGAGTTGGACCAAGAAATTTTCAGCACCTCTCGTAGTTTTTATTTGTTTTTTGTTTTGCTTTTTGTGTTTTTTTTATTTTTAACAAAACATTTAATCTTTTCAATAATTGCATTTTATCTCACAGCTTTGGATTCCCCAAACGTAATGGTCAAAAGCGAAGTGTTTGAGCTTATGTCGGTCCTTTGTATCTACTCCAATGACGGATACCAAAGTACGCTCAATGCCATAGATCTGATAAAGGTAAGTACTTTCGGCTTTTTATTTTTTTTTTTTTCACCACCTCCTCTTGGACTTTAATATCCTAGGGATAAAAATGAACTTGTCAAGTAAACATTGCTTACCATAATTATATTGTACATAGTCTAAAACTACTTGCTTTAGTGTGTTAATATGGGAAGTCTGAGCGAATCTCCAAGCAAAATCTTCCAATAAAAATTAATCATCAAAGCTTCAACATTACCTCAAGAACAAATACTTAAAAATGTTTCATGGAACTGATCACACTTGCCTGGAATATTATTCTCTTAACTTAAAGAAACCAGTGATCCTGAAATAGATTTATACTTTATAATAACTTTTTACTGAAACGAGAAAACTCGTAAGACGCCAATTAAATGTTGACTATTTCTGATGAAATCATGAAACTCCTCACATTTTACAGCATCATGATTTACTAAGCGTAGCCTCAAGGATGGAGCACCTAGTGGGGATCGAACTCTCTACTCAGTCGCAATTAATCTAGCAAAACAAGCTTGCTAACCATTACACAATGTCAAAGTGGCCACCACATTTTGCAGGATGATTTGCTTTTATATTGTGAATCATGTGCCCTTGTTTTAAGGCCCTTCGGTAATGGCTAGCAGAAGTAATCTTTTGGATCATTCCAATTAATGCTTAGCAGAAATATTTTGCTTTGGGGACTTTAGAAACAGCCTTGATAAAATTAAGTTTTGTTTGCGTGCAATTTTGTAGCCTTTAGCATAAAAATTATGCCTAGGATTAACGGGTAAATACTGGGAACCATTTTAATTGGCGAAATCGAGTGTCTAATTTTGATTAAAATAACTAATCTTTTTCAGAAAAGTTTCCCTACACTAACAAAAACGAATTAAAATCACCAACGTTTGTGCTTTTTGAGTTGTTTTGTGTGTATGTTGCGGTACTTTGTGTGTTTATTCATTTTTCTAAAATAAATGAATTAAAACTGGTTATATGCTGCTGAATAGATCACTACGCTTCGTTTGGGCAGTGGCGGTTGTGGCAGGCTGTGATGACAATGTCCGTTCTCACCAGCCATTGTTTTTTTGTGTAAGGATTAAAAGAAAATGCTTAGTGTCAACATATTCAAAATAATTTTTTATATAACACAATATATATGTTTATAGAAGAATAAAGTGAAAGTTGGAGGTTCAAGAGTTCAAATGTAAATATCCTGGTGAAATAGTCCGGAATGATGTAAATATATATGTATATGTCTGTGTGTATTCAAATGTAGTAGCCGCCTGATTAAAAATGTGGATGAAAGAAGGTATGTATTTTTTTTTAATGTAGCCGTTGGCTACTTAAAAGATGTGATGAAAGAAATATGTTTTAATTTCAATGCAGGACTGTGTGGACAGCTAAAATGTCCAGTGGGTCGCACATGTGCCGTATTTTTGTTCTGGGTATGTTACGATAACCGCAGTATCAGGGAATGGTCAAAAGTAATTAATCGATTCTGAGTTAGGTTGAATTTTCATCTCGTTATATACATATCGAGATCCGCTTCGAAAGTGTCGCTTCACTTCTCATTAGCTCACAATCAGTGACCTTATATTCTGGTTTGCAACAGTTCTTGTTTCTGATTCGCTCGCTAGACTGTGATGCTTGTATCCTGGTCGAGACGGCTTCTGATTATATGTGTAAATATGACTATGGCCTGAACATGCATCTGTTTTTAGAGATGGTCAAATGTTGGTCTCGTTGTTATTTGTTTATTTTATTTTTTTCTCTCTCACGACAAACCACCTATTTACGTGTCAAGTTTGGCATTTTCTCAGAATATTTCTTAGCATATTATATACTGGAATATTTTTAACACAACAGCTATGTAATTATGATTAACACTCTATAGAATGTTGTGGATGAATATTTGGTCACTCATTATCCATTTTCTAGATATTTGAGACTAGATTAAAATATCAAATTATGCTTTTAAACAATTTACTCTCCGATTTGCGCCGAAAGTTGGCTTATTTTTAAAGGCTGTCAATTTTATTTCCGACTCTTTGTTACCGCCTTACGCTTAAATATAAAACTTGGACATTTTTACGAGTTGGAAATTATTTCAAATTAATTTGAATTCATTACTGAATGTGCCATCAAACTTATTCAGATAGCGTCGGGTCAGAGTTTAAAGTAGCAACGTTGTCACAGTTGGTGTGACCATAAAAGCTTTTAAAATAATTTAGTAGATTCAGTTTTATTACAGTTTACATAGTCCATGTTGGATGGGAGGAATTCCAAAGAAGCGATAAATTTCCAATGTGAAATCCTGTCTCGTTTGCACACACACACACGTATATATATATATATATATATATATATATATATATATATATATATATATATACACGCGCGTCTTGGGTAAGAGGATGAACTACTTTCAACAGCAAGGCCTCTAATCAGGATTTGAGGAACATAGAACCACCTCTTAATTGCTGGTGTTTCCAGGTCCAGCCTGACCTGGGGTTGTAGCACCTGTTAGGGTCCCAGCTATGGGCAAATAGTTAACCCTCCAAAGTGGGGTCAAAACACTATGAAAGTGTAAAAATAGGATTTAAAACCAGAAATATTACCAGCAATAAATTTTTGAAGAAAAATTATTACCAATAATACATTTAAAAAAATTATATTACCAGGAATAAAAATCTTGTCGGTATTAAATAACCCATTGAGATCGATATGCCGTTACTTATTACACACTTATTATTTTGAGTAGACGCTCCGTTTATTTTAAACAGTCTTTATTTCGTCTACTCAAATACGGATCTCTACTAAAACTAACGTTTGTTTTAATAAAAATATGAAAATCCATTAAGCCTTTAGAAATTGCTTTGTTTACGTCTCGGGTGCGAAACTGAGCATCTATGCGTGTCTGAGTGAGTGAATGTGTTTTAAAGGCGAAATAGAACCTTGCTTTTATTGTGAAACTCTTCGTAGCCGATCAGTCAAAGCACGCCGGATCAAATAGTGGTTTCTCCTGCAGGGGAGGACGCAGGTTCGAATCCTGCCGGTGGGCACATTTTCTTAAATAAACGAAATAAAATAAAATAAATAAATCATTTTTAAAAATAAACGGAATGTCTCAAATACGGATATCCACTAAAAATATGTCGGATGATATATAAAATTCAAATATTGTGGATTCATCCCTGTTAAGGTTAATAATAGATGTAACAGTTTTTTTTGTTTTTTGTTTGTTTTTTTTTGTTTTTTTGTTTGTTTGTTTTTTTTTGTTTGTTTTTTTTTTTTGTTTTTTTTTTTGTTTGTTACTGTTGCTGGGGAGGTAAAGCAATTCTGGAATGGTAGATTGTCAAATAGCTTCTCGCCACTCTGTTCCACACCAGTCACCCTCGTGGTATGTGAGCAAAGAGACAATTTTGTCATGTTATCTGGTGTTGAGACAAAAGAGTGCAAAACCAATTAATGGTTAGTGTAAACTTCAAAATACCAACAAAATATATTATCGGTAATCTTTTTATTGGGTATTTCATAGTGTTTTTATTTATTGTCTTTTGTTTTCACGCTTTGTTATTGTTTTTATAGCGAGGTTTATTTTTAAATAAAATACCATTTCGACGTTATACAGGAAAAATTATTTTTATAGTTATTATATGGTTATACGTTGCATCAAAAAAGATTTGATTATCTTTTTTAAACATATACTATATCGACTTCTCAAACGTTTTTTTTTTTTATATTGGTTGATCTTTTGCTTCGATGTGGTTAAAAGATCTTGCTTCCATGTTTTTCCATTGGTATTATTAACCATAGACATTCTTGTTATAAACTGGTTCTGCAAAATGTCTATGATTAGCTTAATTGAACTTCTTGCTCGTGGTATTACTCTTGAACAGGCAGTATTTACTTCTCTTAATATATTTGTACACTATATTGAACGTACAGATATGGCACTTTCCAGAACGCCTCGTCATCGTGTGATGATTTAATAATTCAGTTCATTATATCGTCCTATCTGAAATTGTTTACCAAGCTCTTCATAATAACTGAGAAGCTCGTGCCGTGGCTCTAGATATCTCCAAAGCGTTTGATAGGGTTTGGCATGCCGACCTTCTTCGCAAGCTCGGGGTTATGGAATTTCAGGTCGATTGTTTGACTTAATCATTCCTGTCGAACCGTACATTGAAGGGCGGTCTCAACTGATTCTCCTCCAGCTCCTATCCACGAGCGCAGGTGTTTCACAAGGCTCCATCCTAGGCCCTACTCTGTTCCTTATCTTCATCAACGATCTTCCTGATGCCATAGATTCCCAAGTAGGCATCTACGCGGACGACACTACAATTTACTCCTGTCTCAAAAACAAATCTAGTGTTGTTGAAAAAAACTAACCTAGCCGTTCGTCTCGAAAAGGACCTCCAATCGGTTGTAAACTGGGGCAGGAATTGGCTGGTTAACTTTAATGCCTCAAAAACAAAACTGCTCTCTATTAATCACCACAGAGAACCATCCCTGTCCCTTATTAGAATGTCTGACGCTCACCTTCTCGAGAGTTCCTCTTTGCGACTACTCGGCCTCACATTGACTTCTGACCTGAAATGGAACAAATACATTAAGTCAATAGCTTCGTCCACCGCAAGGAAAGTTGGCTCCCTGTGCCGCGCCAGGAAATTTTTCTCGGCATAGTCGATCCTACAAATCTACCATTCGCCCTTGCATGGAGTATTGCTGCCATATATGGTCTGGGGCCCCTTATGTCTGTCTCAAGTTTCTTGATAAGATCCAGAGACGGATATGCAACGTAATTGGCTCTGATTTGGCATCTCGTCTGCAGTCGTTCTCTCACAGACGTGCCGTCGCTTCCCTCTGTCTTTTTTACAAATACTTTCATAGTAACTGCTCCGATGAGCTGCTTTCGCTGGTTCCCAGACTTCATGAATTTAAGCGTTCTACTTGGCTGGCATCTCGCTCACATCCTTTCACTGTCGAAACTGTTAAATGTAGCCGTCTCTTCTACTCCA